GCTGAATCAGCCTTTTCTCCCATCTTCCTTCTATGTCTGTCACCTGTCCCTCATCTTCATCCCTACTTCCTAAAGCCTGACCCTCTAAAACAGTTTGTAGTAACTTTTACAGACCTGTTGCTGTGTTATTCCCTGCTATTCCATTCCCTGATTTCCATCTCTATCCTGTCTATTTAGACTGCAAGCTCCTCTTCAGAAAACTGGTTTCTGAAAAAGCTTTCAATTGTGTTAGGACTTCCTGGCATCCTTAAATATTTACTTTAGCCATATTATGATATCAGCTTAAACAAGTGTTCAGAACTTTCCTGCCTGTGCACCAATAGTACTGACCTAAACTTCCTTCCTAACAATTCTGCCACCAGAGATTTATTTTTAGTTTCTTTTTTTAGATACTTTTGAGATGACTCATCAGCACTTAAAAACTGGATTCAGTGAGTTAATGATACCCCATAAAATCTACATAAGTGCTTCTATTTCTTCCATTGCTATAGTATTCAGTTACCCCACAACTCTTCAAGAAATCACCAGAATGGTCATTTGTAAGAATCTTGTGTATATATACAACTAGTTAGACAATTCTCTATAACTGTTAAAAGTTTGCACTGCTGTGTAAAACAGCTTGAAAAGTGATGTCTTATGCTATGGCAAAATCAAAACCAAGTACACTGGAAAGGTGTGTGGGAAAATAAGTTTTCAAATCTGCTTCATTGCAGGGCATTTTTCTGTCCTGACTAAACCCCCAGTTGGCTCTGCAGGATTAGATGTTGTGATGGCTTTAAAAAAATAGCTGCAGCTGCCTGGAGTATGATCTATGTTTGAACTCCTGTTGTGGGTTCTATTGGTAGGGAAATTTTTGGCAGAGTGGCTTAGTGTATGCCATATGCAGCTGTGTTCAGCGCTAGCTCTCTGTTTCCCCATATAAGCTTTGGAACATAGATAGCTCTTTAACTGTGTTAGAAACATGTTGTAGAACACAGGCTTTTAATTGCTTTTAAACCCTGTGTGTGCTAGCATTTAAAAGCAAGCAGTCAACATTTAAATCTCTTCTAAGCAGCAAGTTATAATCTTTCCTCTTCTGCCACACCATAAAAGTCTCCCTAGCAATTAGAACATTATAGCCCATGCTATTTATTTTTCTCTTTGCACATTTAAAAGGCCCATTTTTAGAGCATTCTCTTGCAACTGCTGGGTTTTTTTTATGCCAATTATTGGCAATAGTATTGGGTGGGAACTTAACTGTTTGCAGGGAAAGAAATATAAGCATCTGTAAGTATTTGTTTATATTTTCCCAAATAAATTTGATTGTGTTTTTCAAAACAAACAAACAAACCAAACCCTTGAAGCATTGAAGAGAATATGGTTTATAGAAAGTGTTTCAGTAAACCACTTAAAAGAGAGTTTACTTCCTGACTTTGCTGACTGAAACTCCTGACATTTCAGAATTTCTGAAACGCAGAGGGAAAAGGAAGAAAGCTATGTCATTCAAAGCTAATGAAGAAAGATATTACTAAAGAAAAAAAGTCCTTTTGTGTGTTTGTGGTCACTTTTAAAACAGAATAAAGGTTTTCAGCTAGAATCTCCTACAGATTTCTCTCTGCATCATAGTATGTTTCTACTTAGAAATACAGGCATGTCGCATCGTATGCACATTTAACTTGTGCAAATTCAACTATACGCAGGTGGGGAGGGCGGGGCTTGAGTCTGCATGCGGTGCTGCTGCTTACCTGGAGGCCCAGCCACCACCACGCTGCCAGCGGTGACTGCCTCTGCCTCCAAAACTTCCCGCTGCCGCCATGGAGCCGTGCCTGGAGCTGTGTGGCTGGGGGGGGCGGGCCGGGGGGGGGGGGGGGCGCGGGGGGCGCACCACTCCATGCTGCACCGCTGCCACTGGCTGCACAGCTCTAAGTGCGGCTCCGTGGTGGTGGTGTGAAGTTTTGGAGGCAGAGGCAGTCACCGCTGGCACGGTAATATGCGATTTCACTATATACTTTTTTCACCCTTGCACGCTGCCTTTAGAATGTAATCCGCGCGTAAGATGCGACATGCCTGTATGTCTTGCCAAATATAAAACAAGAGAGAAACGTGATTACAACTACAGGCAACCCCTGCTTAGCACTCTTAATTGGTTCCTGAAAAATCGAGCGTTAAGTGAAAATGAAAGTATTTGATGACCCAAGATGGCAACCGCAATTGTTTTAATGACTCAAGATGGTGACCGCGAGTGTTATAACGAAACTTGCTGAGCGCTAAGTGAAATCAGGTATCGATTTAAAATGAGCATTATAGCAAAATAACGCTAAGCGAAACAGCATTAAGTGAGGGTTGCTTGTAGTGGTAAGTTATGGAACTATAAAATGTTAATCATTCTTTCTTAAATGAATGCAGTGTTGGATTAATTTAGGATTTACTAAAGTCAGCCATGGTTTCATGATATGAAGACTAATGTGCCATGTATATCTGTAGAGCATGTATGGCAAAGATAGTAGCTGTGCAAGCTTCTTGATTGGTGTAATGAATGTGGTGTAATGTATACCTGGGCTTGGTAAAATTAGATTTTTATCAATAAACTTTGATATCGCCTCACACCCACAGACCAACAGAAAATATTTCCATCATTAATAATTGAAATTTATAGAATGAGGACATAAGAAAAATGATGGCTGACTGAGTGTGTGATGACAGGGGAAGCAGAAGTGTGCTGACTAGTTTGGACTGCAGCTCCCAGAAACCCCAGGGGACTGGGAACAAAGGAAGAGGAAATGACAAAGCAGATGAGGGAACTGCGGGCAAGTGGAGCTGGGACTGATAGCAGCTCTGCAACTCGGCTGGCAGCAGTCCTACACCCCCCCACCATGCCCCTAATTGTGCACAATCCTGAAAATTTAAATGGATAAAAATCTAAATAAATGCTAAAAAATAAAAATTGATGTTATCCGTCAAAATTATTAAAAAAAAAAAAATTCTGCCAATTCATACTGTTGGCATATACCATATTGTTGGCAAGGATTTTTTGAGCAATATCTTTTATTGGACCAACTGCATGCTCGAGATAAAGTTAGACAAACGTTTGAAGGCAGGTTGAAAAATGCCTTTCATTTGCATTTGAAAGTTTTCCTAATTTATCCCAACCATGTAGTTGGTCCAAAAAAAGTTACTACTCACAAAACCCTTGCCCCTCTCATAATTTCTGGACCATCAAGGCTACAGCATCACTCTAACACTGCTGTACCATAGTGTTTAAGATCCATGCCCTGCTTGTGGAGAAAACTTTTCTGAACCCTTCTTTGAGCCTGTACAACTAGTTTTCAGATTGCCACACCAGTTGGGTAGCAGCTTGCATAGCTTCTCCTGTTATCTCCTTAGAACTTTTCCTGACTTGTTTATACATAAGAATTTAATTTACAGTCCTAACATGCTTTTAATTGTTAAACTAGACTGTCTTTTCTACTTCTGCATTCTTCCTGTGCACAACTATTTAACTGGTAAATATCTCAGGCCTCAACTCTGACTGGGGTGCATACTGATAAGTCCTATTCATTCTAAGTTCTTGTGTCAGCACACTCTGATCTCCAGGCTCAGCTGATCCTCCAGTTTTTTTGTTTCAGTTGAAACTGTGATGGTTATCTGAAGGGGACATTATCCACTACACGCTCATTTAAGTTTACTGAACAGCTCTGTGATGATAACTGATCTGTTCTGGAATTAAACAGATGACCTAGAGGTCAGACCCTTATCTAACTAGTAAACCATCTATTTTTTTTTAACTTCATCTAGTGAGCTGAGCCCCCACTGCTTCACACAATGCTACTGCAGCATGTCTTCAAGCCATAAATTTGTTTTATGCCTCCGTAGGGTGGGATACTAAAAATAAAGATTCAGGACTGTTTTTCCTGCTGGAACTTATTTTCAAAACTTAATAATTCTCTTTCTCTTCCTGGTACTTCTGATCAGTGCTGTGAATTGTGCTTGTATTGATCCAGGTCCCATTCTGTGTCTTCACTTTTGTTTTGCTCTTACTCAAAAGCAGCTTCTTGAGAGCACATCTCAGCTTTTTATTGAATCAGTTTAAAGACTCTTGCAAAACTTCTTCCAACAGAATTACTAGTAATTGTGAAGATTTTGCATGGGTTTACTCTTGAAAAATGAGACAATGAGGAAAGTGTGGTAGGTTTGTGGAATGCAAGTAGTTATGGGGTATTGACTATTGGAGGAAAATATACTCCAGGTTAAAACCATTTGCATAGACTTGGGCATAAGAGAAAGGGGAGACTTTTTGGCGTATCCAAACCCAAGATTTTTTCATGATCCTTTTTGCAACGTTCTTTTATATAGCCACCCATTTAAATTGCACGTGGGAGGAAGATGCTTGTGTCTTTCTCACTATGTCTGTCTCATGGTAACAGTGTTGGGATATGGTATCCTTTCTTTTTTAAGTAAAATACAGGAAGTACATTTCTTTATTGTTATTGTTTTTTTTTCTCTCCCCAGGTGTTTCTATTCATAAGAAGGCTATTTGATACTCTGAGGGGAATGTTCCACATTGCCACTTTGTTCCTGCTCCCTATCTACGATGATGAGGTTGAGCTGAGTGTCCTGGGAGCAGAGAAGAGAAGCTTGGACTGGCAGGCTACT